AAAGTAGCAATTAAGATTTTGGACAAGACCAAGTTAGATCAGAAAACGCAACGTTTACTGTCCCGTGAAATTTCCAGCATGGAAAAACTTCACCACCCAAACATTATCAGACTTTACGAAGTGGTGGAAACATTGTCAAAACTGCACCTTATGATGGAGTATGCAGGAGGTGGCGAACTCTTTGCTAAAATCAGCACAGAGGGAAAGTTAACAGAAATGGAAAGTAAATTAATTTTCTCCCAGATTGCATCTGCTGTGAAGCACATGGTAAGCTGGTTGGCTGTACGCCTAAATTACCCTTCATTGCTTTAGCAAACGTCATGTATATATTTTTGTTTTGTTCTGTCTTGCACATGGTAGGTGTGGTGCTAATGAAAGGTTCTGAAAGGCAGCTCTGGAAACTAAAGTTCCCATAGAACAGCACATACCGCATGTGCAGTGGTAATGTAGACTTCCCCGCATAACTATACTTCCACTCAACTCTTGACCTGCTTAATGCCTAACTGCAGCCTGAGTGTTTTTTCTGATTCTGTCACTTCTTTGGACAGTGCACTAAGACCACAAAACTCATTTTGCATAGAGCAACACACCAGTATGACAGCTTTCCTTGCTCTTGTACAGCATTTTTATCCACATGTAAAGTCATGACCCAGGTGTTGCATCTGTAAGCACACTGACTGAGCTAGTTTGTAGTACACTGCCCATTAGACTCAAGAAACATGCTACATATGGCAGTTTTCTGTTTTGTGGGGAATGGCAATGCTAATAAATGGGGAGGAAGAACACAGCAGATGAAAGAGTAGCATAATGGCATCTGTTATCACAGTTAGCATTTTAGAGCAAGCTGAGTTCTAAAAAGTGATAATTAAAAGATTTCTATGGATCAAATTCAACCCTGGTCTAAACTCCTAGGCTACGTCTAGATTTACGAAAAAGGGATGCAAAGGATTGCAAATTAGACGTATCGCAATTGCTAATGAAGCGGGGATTTAAATCTCCACGTCATTAGCATAAAAATGGTTGCTGCTTTTTTTTGGCACGGAGCTTTGCTGGAAAAAAGCACCAGTCTAGACGCGGATCTTTTGGAAAATAAAGCCTTTTATGAAAATCCCTTATTTTAAGAGGGATAAGGGATCTTTTGGAAAAGGCTTTATTTTCCAAAAGACCCGCGTCTAGACTGGCGCTTTTTTCTGGCAAAGCTCCCTGCTGAAAAAAAGCGGCAGCCATTTTTTATGCTAATGAAGCAGGGGAGATTTAAATTCCCGCTTCATTAGCAATTGCAATACGTCTAATTTGCATCCCTTTTACGAAAAAGGGATGCAATCTAGACGTAGTCCTAGAGAAGTCAATGGAATTTGGCCTGCTTTTTAATCAAATGCAAAGACTACTGAGATACCATCCACAGAAACTCAAAGATCAAAGGATGCTCTGTTCAGATACGAAATGGGCCTTGCACATAAACGGAGTATAAGATGGAGTTATGAATAAAATTACTTATCAGTAAAATAAGGCAAAGACCTGGAGAGAGAGTGTAATTTTTATAAAAACAGTATCATATACCCCTGAAAAGAAACCTAAATATTAGGGTAAGGAAATGCACATAGGTTGTTGAAGTAACTTAAATCCAGCCTGTAGCAAGCCTTGGAATAACCGTATAATAACTACAGGCAGTCCCCGGGTTACGTACAAGATAGGGACTGTAGGTTTGTTCTTAAGTTGAATCTGTATGTAAGTCGGAACTGGCATCAGCCGCTGCTGAAACTGATCAGTTTCAACCGCGGCTGAATCTGGATGCCAGTTCTGACTTATATACAGATTCAACTTAAGAACCCCAGGTGTCCCCAAGTCAGCTGCTGCTGAAACTGATCAGCAGCTGATTCCAGG